CCATTTGGTTCTGAGTAGTGTGATCTAGTAAAATCCATATGGCTTTGGTTATGCGTTTGTGTGGGAATTTTGTGCCACCGATCAACATTTTGTTGAAGGCATATAGGTTTCCCCTCTTTCCTTGTTTTGAAGGATGCTTTGATGATCCTAGGTCCATGAGATTTCCATTCTATCAGTGCCTTTTGTGCTTGGCTGGAAAGCATCAGTGCGGCTCTTTTTCTTTGTGAGGCATTTTCTTCCTCGTAACCAGAGTACAACAGCAGGTCTCCTGAAGTTAGTCTCAGTGAACCAAATTGAGTCCAATGCGTTTCACTGATTCCAAGCACAACTTTTAATAGTCTCTCGGTCCCCCTAATTGTTCGAACACTCCATATACCAGAAAGAATGATTGCTTTGGTTGTGATAAGCGGCATCGGCCTCATAATTTCCGAAGGAACTCCGTCCTCATTATGGGACGACATAATACTCCTAAATGAAGACATTTTCCCACAGCACAGTTTGAACGGCTTGAATTGATTTTTCTGGTTAGCCTTTTTTTAGTGAGTTAGTTTTCTATGGGAGTGGTCGTTAAGCCCGTTTCCAACGCCCCTCACTTTTCCTTGCTTGGGACCGGCAGTATCTCTGGAAGGGCCACTGGCCGAATTAAACTGAAGAGTAGTCCCGTAATTTTCGGATTCTCAAGGCCTGTTTCTCCGGTATATCTGAGACACTGAATACTATTACCTATTTATACAGCCTTCCCAACTCCTTCAGGTCTCGATGATTGGGAGAGCTTGTCACCTCATGACTAAGCCGCTTCTACTCCTCATTGTTTCAAGCGATCTAGAGGATTAGTTTCCGAGACTCTACCATTTAACTCAATGCTACTAAAATCGATTGCTCGCCTCTAACCTTATGTTCACCTTACTGGCAGAAATTACTGCTATCTTCACGGCATTTTATGTATCACTCAAAGCCGTTTCGGAGCGAGCATCACTTAAATAACTAACTGGTTTTCTACCTGTCCTTGAAACTCAATTCTGGCTTCTGTATCATCAAGCGTAACTCTGATAACTTCCTTGCGGTCCTAGTTTGGCATGATCTGATCCGTGGTTAATAACGACGTGGTTGACTGAAACATTAGATCGACATCAAGGGGTCACCATGTTAAAACAAGTTCTTCCATATGTTTAAGGCGAGTATTTGCCAGAAATATTCAGGTAGTTGAGTATAGTTGCAGAAGAGAATCCCCATAAACTGTTCAACAGGCTGAGACGCAATAAGATCACCCTAAGCGTCTTTCAGTTTCGAGAAAATTACCAGCCACTTCTATAACATCGAAGCATATAACCTTTAAGGACGGTTAAAAAGGTTTAGGTTGGATCCATCTTTTACCTCATCTGAACTACGATCTGTCGGAGCGTAGGCAAAAGATTACTGGGAGTTACAGTAGGTGTCCTTATTTCTCCGAGATATTACTGTCCCAAATTCTGTAAATCAACATTATTACTAACAATTTGGTTCTTCTGAATTTCCTCTATTCATACGATTAATTGCCCATTCGTTATCTTACCAGTGAATTGTCTTCATTAACCTACATAAGTGCAGTTGTGCAGCTAGTGTTCTACTTTAAAAAAGTATTGGCTGAGTTATTGTTGGGCTTTAAACAAGAATAAACAAGAATATATTCTGCTCCTCGCCCCTTTCTCTTCATTTCTATTTTTCAGCACCTTATTCCAATCCTCAAATGTTAGTCTGGATATTTGTCGAATACTTGGTTACTTTACCCAGGAACCTGTAAATTTATTATCTGAAGAAAATCAACCATATTTCAGCACATTTACCTTATCAATTCTTGTCATATTCAGACTTGACTCTACCTTGCATTGTTTCACAGTCATTATCTGTTCGTCGTGACGAAACGGTTGTAACTCGTACCAATTATTCGCGTTGTGCATTGCAGAGTCTGCAAAAGTATCTATAATTTTATGTGAAAAATTTTAGCCATCTATATGAAGCCAATGTTTCTTGTGAAATATTTCAGTAACTGAACAAAGTTTTACAAAATGTATGTTAGCAATCTTAGCAATTTGATCTTGCCTGTAAATTGTCATGCCTCTTGTAACATGCTGTTATTTGAGAATAAATTATTATTATTTGTATTAGTATTATTATTACTGTGGGTGAACTCATAGGCAAGTGTTCAATGGAATCGACTCTAGGGGAGCTAGTTCCACATTTGTCCTCATTACTAAACCTTCCCAGCAAGTTGACGAGAAGCAGCTCCAAATATTCTAATCTCGAACCACTGCGCGTAATTTGAGAAATATAACTTTTTCCGGGTTATTTCGCTTCCATATTTCTCATCATTTTCCTTAAGGTGAACGGTATATATAACAAATGTTTTCTACCAGAGCGTTGGCTGTTTTGACTTTAGATTTTTACTGCGGGCACTAGGGCATGGTCGGAGTCTAAACATGTGCCCCAGAACGAGCGACAGTCTTCTATCGAACTACGTTGCTTACTATGGGGATCCTTAAGAACAGTCGTCTAAAACACCACTAATCTAATTTCTTTTTCGGATACCTCAAGAGGTATCCTTCCACAGTAAGAGCGATCAGTAATTGTCAACTGGTTACATACTTTTGACAGCACTCTAAATCACCTTGTTCACGATCAAATTCCAATATTCTTATTATGCAAACATTAAAAGTCGTGCAATTATGTATATATGGTTGGTACAAGACCATGATTTACTACTAGTAATGAATCTCGAAATATATATGACCGAAACATTTTTGGTACAAAATCAGTAACAGTTTAGCTATTAGTTAATAACAATATTTGGATAAATAACATTATACTGACTATTAATGCGTCATACGGAATCTTACAATTATGAAAATATGCAGATACCTTAACTCAACTATTTAGTAAATACACTTCAAAAAAAACTAAATCCTCAGAAAGTTACTTTCAAAATCCCGTATTTTTTAGCTATTCTCACAGTTAAAAAAAACTAAAATATTGTCTCTATTTTGGATTGTTTTCATCTTCAAATATAATTGATGGTAATTAATTTGCAGAAATGAAATAAACTCCAGTGTGCTGTCAAATGAATTGTCTGACATGTGATTTTTCCGCACATAATCATAATAATGTTTGATATCTCAGATAGAAAAGCAAATCGCCTGCATATATTTATTTATTTGTTTATTATTATTAGGAGGCAGTAACATATTTTTCAATTATTAGTAAATTTATCCAACTGTTAAGTCTGTGTATTCCTATCTACTAGTTACTATCGTGTTCGAATAACCTTTGATTCACTTGAAGAAAATACTCTCAAATTGGCTTATGAAGATGCTAAATGTCTATTTAAAGACCGTGAGTTTTCGTTTTTCAAGTTTGTTTATTTTTTCGGTTTTTCACTTCATTTATGAAAATGTTTTATATTGAATAAATTGACCCTTAATGGATTTACTAAATGAAAATAAAGTATTGAATCAGCCCAAAAGTGTCTGTAGATTCTACACACGTAACTTTGTCCGACACTACAAGAATTCCAGAAAACTAACCTACTTTGTTATTAAAACCTAATGATCAGAAAACTAACTTCAAGTGAAGTCTTATTAAACGCTATGCACGAAATCTTACTTGATATTACTAATCATGCTTTAAAGAATAGCCATATATCATAGAATTCACTAGCATTATAGGTTTAGATACTGTAATATACACCAAACATACGCAAAACTAATTTTCACTAGTATTGCTTAACGCATTTAGTAGTATCATTTACTTCCTTATTAGCTGATATGCCCGCTTTATTCTACTTCATTTTTTAGACATCTATTTAGAGCGCGGACATGCTGATCCAGTCGATAAAGACTCATGAGAGGTGTACCATTCTATGTAAACAAACAGAATCTAATTTGCGGTAAATGTGTGGCTAAATCTTTACAATTTATAGAAGAAGTATTTTTACAAATGAATTGGATTTAACTATTTGATTGAGTTACAGGATAGGACCTTAGGTGTTGTAGGCTATAATGGTCCAACTCTGCTTTTTAGTAATAGATAATAGATGTGTTGAATATGGGTTTTCTATATAAAATGAGATTAAAGATTTTAATCTATTTTTTTTAATGAGAAATTAACTTACTTCTTAGTTCTTATACAACTTCATGAAAATAGATATAAACAATAGTGATCCTCCAGGTAAACTGGTCCCAAAAGTTCAATATAAATGCTTCAGTAAACTGGGTCATGTTGGCAGATGTCGACTACCTGGTTGGGGCCCGAGAGATGAATAATAATCCCATGGTTAGAGACCTTGAATGACATGGCTCAAAATCGTTGTAATGGCGCAGGTTTATCATTCTTTGTGTCCTCTCAAATACTAACCTTCAGAGTTCCTCATCACCTTTACCTTTTTGTTTTCAAGTTTATTTCACTAGATTCTACCTCTTAAGGTAACATCCGAACCCTAATCTCTCCGATTACTGCTAATACCTTTACCACATTCACTACTATAGGATTTGAATCGACAATTACACCTCAGTGCTAGTGTGGTATGGCAACTTGAACTGATGTACGTAAGTAGGTACAAAGTTCTACGTTGCTGATGATTGATTGATTGATTGACTTATATAAATGTTTCACTAACGAATTATTCAAACTCTCCAAGATCATTTTTGGGAGGAATTTAGACCAAATTATTCCGCCGTATTTCTAGAAAATTTCTTAGAACATTCAATGGTAATGTGGCTTTGAAGTCTCAGTTAATTTTTTTTCTTGAAAAAATAAACTATTCAGCTTCATTTTAAAACAGCCACCTAGTTAATATCAATATTTAGTGTATGATAGTCATTTCGCTGTATTTCCTACTCTTCTTCACTAAATTGATCGTTATTGAAGTGAATAAATCGAATGATAAACTCTTGATCATAATATCAAAGTTTTAGTACAATATGTTAGTGTATCATTATATAATCGGCCAAATTTTATAGTAACAGATAATGGATTTCATTCAACAAAGCGAGTAAATAATGGATTCACTCGCTCTCCTGAAATATAAAGTAAAGAAAGTTGTATTTCAATGTTCAGCTAGTCCAAACGTTATCTAGCTGAACCATCTTGTTCTACGCATTGTGAAATAAACTGTGTAACTTTTCCAAATCATTTTTCAGTTATAAATAACTAGTTTCATCATTAGATACTTTGTAGGTTATGTATGAAAAACATTCAGTCTAATCTAATTTGTTATACCTTTTTTTATACTTTCAAAGTGAAACTGAGCTAGTTATATGCTTCAATGGTGGTAAAGATTGCACTGTGTTACTTCATTTAATCCATGCTGCAGTTCAACATCGAAATAATAATTCAAAAATAAAACCTACGAGATTACCCAAACTTTTATATATTCGTTCATGTTCTACTTTTCCAGAAATTGAACTATTTGTTAAGAAAACAATCGATGCTTATTATTCATTATCTAACAAAATTTTACGACCAGATTTAAAACAACATGAAAATGGACAGAATAATGTTAATTCACAGTCTTCCTCATGTTCAGTAGATAGTGATGTAATTATATATGAAGGGTCTATTAAAAGTGCATTGGAAAGATTTTTGCGGGATTATCCTGAAGTAAAGGGTGCTTTTATGGGCACAAGATTTACAGATCCTGGAGCACGTGAGTATCACTGTTTCGTTTTTGTGATTATCCGTTTTTTTACTACAAATAATTATGTTTCGGTAAGTTTTATATTATCAGCAAGAAATTAGGAAGAAAACAGGTTGATAAAGTATTATTTCTTTTTAATTAATTTATCATAAGGATTGTACGCTAACATTACAGGTCGTATCTATTGTTACTCCGTCGCCTCATTAGCAACTCCATAAACTTAATATTGAAGGTGTCTTGAAGCTCCTAGAATTTTTACCAGAATCACACTCGCAGAATAAAATGTCTTCATTGATATGTTCATATTGCTATTGGCTTACTGTTTAACTGCGACATGGGGAAAATTTTTTTCTCATGGGGCTTGAAGCCAATATAATCTTATTGAACTTTCAAAACTGACGAGTTTGATCACTTTGTTAAAATATTAGCTTTAGTTAAGAATCTCACTGGACGTTAAAACACCCATCTTACAGCTTATTTAACTAAGTATTCCAAAATGAATGTTTTTTAAATAATCGGCCTCATGCTCTTGTGATCATATTTCGATGAGTTATACGAGATATATTTATGTTTAAAGCCTCGTCTTTCATGTTTGGTAATTTGCACGATAAGGTGTATAGATAGCTATTCAAGTAAATAGCTTATTATTACTGTTCTGAATATTTCAAATAATAATGTTTTACTGCCTAACTGTTATCTATTCTGTAGAGAAACTGTCACATATGATGATGTCAGATCCTGATTGGCCTCAAATTCTTCGAATTAATCCACTTTTAGAGTGGACTTATTCTGATATTTGGAATTTTCTTCGATCTCTTTCACTTCCGTACTGCAGTTTGTATGATGCCGGGTAATTATTAACCTCAATCCTTTAAATAAACATCGTAAAATGTTTTTGTAATGCTTTATACGAAAGTGCATTCTAGAGTTTGTTCTTGACCGCGAATCATTGCAATCACACTCTTGATGTGGCAGCTAAAATTACTGATTAACATTACATATAAAGTCAGGAATCTGTGAACAGCTGCTTTGATTTTACCAATAAGCACCCATGACCCTACCAAGAACCACTCTCAATAAGTGTATGCTCTCTGTCCTTTGGGCTAACTTTCGATCACTGAGTTGGAATCCAATGGTTCACATTTTCAACTCCAGTGAGTTCCCAGTATTCTGCTACCGTCATTCGAACTCGAAGGTTCTGGTTCTATTTCTAGTGCGTTGATCAGTGAACACTGCTTTGAAGTCCTGTAATAGGATAAGTAAATGTGCAGTGCTTCTTGGTTTCCAGTAGTCATCGACCTAAATTCATTTTGAGGTGAACGCCTTTTGAGATTGGAACATGTTCTTAGACCCTTTTACTGACTAGATGCCATTTTGATAAATTATTCAGCATAGACCATTAATATTTAGAAATATTTGTGCTATGATTTTGTTTCATAAAGATAACTTCATTCGTTAATGATTCAATGAATCATTTATATGGATTTTCAGTCTTTTGATTCGACTCTCAAAGAACTGTTTGTGATTACTTAATGATCATAAATTTAAGATTATATGAATGGGATAACTAGAGTTCTGAAACACAGTAGCTGCAAGGTTTGTCATCTGCTCATATGATGAAGCTAGCGTACCATTTTCTTTAGACAATAATTGTAGATAATTTATTGTGGTTGATACAAGTCAAGTTATTATGAATACTAGGGGAACATGGCTAGTTGCCAAAGCATTTGTTTCTTCTAGACAGGTTCCAAATTCTCTTTACTTATCAAAGTTTAGGCATTTATCTAGGATTGCTATTTCTCAAATCCAATGCATCGTAACTGAATGTATATTCAGGTCCCAATTGTAGTGATACACGATTTCATGATATAATGTGCGAGCCTATAACCTAATAGAACATATCTGTGATCACTACTTGAGCATGATTCTGTACAGTCACTAGGATCGGGTCTAGCGATTCACATTTTGCTATTGAATTCAGTTCGCTACGTAACGTGATTACCATCTCTAGGTTTTTGACAGCTACTATTGTCCCCTTTTCTTAATATGTCTATTTCAGCCTAGGTCTTATCATGTCTTAATAATTTGTTTCTGCTTTTTAAATAAACAATGTATTTTTTCGTATTACAGATATACATCAATTGGAAGTGTGGAAGGCACACACCCTAATCCCCAATTAAAATACATAACAGAAAGTGGACGGATCGCATACCATCCAGCCTATACATTAAACGAGGAAATTTGTGAACGCATCGGTCGTGTACATACAAATACAAAGCTCGATTGAATCAAAGCCATATATAAGTTAGCTTTTCAAAGAAACACTCGTAAGACAATTGTTGACGGAGATTTACGATTTTGGATAGACAGCTATAAAAGACTGTTTTCGCAACCGTTCAGTACCATACGTATTCTGAATATGCTTAAAGCTTTAACAATACGTTTACAGATATAAATATCAACTCATCTTAAACGTACCTTAGTTACCTTTTACTAACAATGCTATAACATAGATTGATGAAGTCCGTTTTCTTGGTGTATCCTTCGTCATAACATCTCTTGACAAAACCTCACAATTCACGTATACTCACTTATAAGTAAAACTTGTCTCACTCACCGAAAATGTGGAATGGATGAATATTACCGACTAACCACTTAAGTTGGAAGTGAGTATAAATTTTCGAAATGTTCCGCAGAGTTCTTTATAGGCTATTTGTAGCTGATGGCGATTTCAGATTCCACTTTGGAAGCGTTTAAATCTCTGTTTCGTAGTACAGTTTACAATTCGACGGTATTTTTTACTCTGTAAAATACATAAATATGAGAATCGGGAGCTATTCTCTATTTCGATCACTGACTGTCAAAGTAAATAGCTTCGTTGGTTTCCGTTCAATGGATAAAGTCACTTATCACTGGACTATTGAAAATTAATTGCGTGGATAGTACACAAACTTTATGATGAAACAATCTGTACGAAGTAATTAACATTTTTACAGATAAAAGCTAATGGAATGTCAGTGTAAACTATAAGAGTAATTTAGTTAATTAGACTCACAATGTAAGGTTAGTCTAATAACACCCACACAATTTGAATCGATGACCCAGACGAAGCTGTAAAATTTGAATAATATAATTCACTGCCGTCGTTAAGTTTAAAATTTTGATTAAATTATGTTAACTAACATATGTGTTTAACGTGAAACTAATGATTCGTTAAAAGATGGGTAAAAGAGATGTTAGATTAAGTTTGAAGAGTTCCGACCAAACAGGAGAGGATTAAATCAGGAAATTTTGAGATTGTTTGTAGTTTGATTAATGACCTAACTTTGTATATAGAAACGCCAGTACTATGACATCTACAATATACGAGAAGTATCAGTTACTTAACTTTAAGGCATTTTTGTATAATTAAGCAGTTGAATGCGCTAAATTAATTATTACTGTGGCACGTGTGCCAGGCTCTACGCTGCATATAACTCACTGACTAAGCATGGCAAAAACGAAGATTTAATGAGGATTAACTTAGCTGAACACCGCTGGTTCGGAAATTCAAAGTCAAGTGCCGGCCTCATCGTGTCAATGATATCTGCTGATTCTGTTTTTCTAGAGCAGTCAATGTCTTTGCAAAACCTATCCAATGAATTTAGTTGTAATTATTATATGTATTGAAATAAAATGAATAATAAATTCAAATGCTAAAACTTTACTTTGTTAGGTCAAATTCATTTCAACTGCAATATATTTATAGGTAGCATACAGTTATCTGCTGCTTCTGGATTTCGTATGCGTCTTTTATTAGATATCAATATTTTCTGAGAATGAGATAGAAAATTGTAAACTTGTCTTCTGTTTCTAGTTTGATGTTAAGTTGGTGGAGGATGAGTGAAGTTATGATGTTTGTATAGAATAGTGATTAATTTGTGTCTTCTGTCAACTTCAAGTACCAGGAAAGTTATAATCATAATTTATTAAGAAATTAGTATTTAGGGGTTTTATCGCCAATATGGTGAAAAGACGGATATCTCTTATCCATGCATTTCAGTTTCTTGTCAATTTATTCATTCTGTCAATGTGACATCTAAAAAACTTAGATGCTTAAATGAACATGATTCATGACCATTATTTTGAAACGGGAAAAGAATTCGTTAGAATAACTAATTTTCAGGTTGGTCTCTACTACAGGAAATCTCACTCAAGTATATCCGATCAAAAGAGAGATGTTGAAAAGGAGCAAATTTATAGGTCAGTAGTTCAGTTTTAATTGTTAACTAAAAAGGTTGATATATTTGGTGTCGTGAATTGCTTAAATACATCCAGTTATTTGTTGATCTGTGGTCAGTTCAATGTATCCGAGTTTGTCTATTGACCAACTAAGTCGATCATATAAATCGTTGTATTTAGATATAGTTTCGATCAGTGGTTAAATTTGTTGCTGATTTATTTATGATGTGTGACCGATTCCTATCTACAGTTCTACTTTCTTCTCTGCATCCAGCCTTACGGATATTTTTCTCCGTATTAAGAATTGACAGTTTTTCCTGCACTTATAGCCACTATCAGTAACAGTATATTGTCATTTACAATAAATGCGCTTCTGCTAAAAAGAAATAATATGAAAAACAGAATAAAGACGAGAGTTGTTTCCGTAATATTACTTTGCACATTATCCGTTTATAATATTCGATAGTAGCTGTAATAAATCTTACCTATGAATGTTTACCTATTAGCATGTTGCTATTAGTCTGCAAGTCATAGATATGAGTATGTAAACTTTGGTGAGTCGACTAATACTGAACTTCTCTATCTAATTAGTTCATGGATTTGTGATTGTTTACATCGTCTTGTCTAGTTGTGCCGATTACTAGTCTGGACACAGATTTACTTACAACTTGTATTTATTCTCATTATCTTAATGGACATGATTATTGTAATCGTTTGAATGCTAGTATTACTGCAGATTGTATACTTATCGTATTAAGTAACTCGATAAATCAATTATAAGTTTAGTCTATGAAACGTTTTGGTTGCACAGTTTGTTCTATTCAAGATGATATTCGTTACTCAGCTGAATTCTTCTTTTTATTCAGCGAAATTCTTGTCTTGATCTAGTCCTCACCCAAATATCAAACATTGTATACATGTCGAGTACACACAGACATCTTCCAGGATCTTTTGGTTGGTTGATTTGGTTATTAAGCTTACCGAATCCTTCTATATAAAACCCTGAAGAAAGCAAGTTATCAGGTATTGTCCACAGATAAAATGTCGCTAGTTGGTTGCACGACATGTATGCACTTGCAGTCTGCCACGAACGAAACGAGGGGTTTCACTTGTATCTGCCAAGTTAAGACAGAAACTACACATAAAATATCAACAGAGTTGGTTGTGAAACAGACGTACGACAGGGGTGCCATTGAGTGGGCATGATGTTTCTGAGTGGTAATCAACCAAATGAGTATATTCGCACCTATGAAGCAACGGTACAACTTTAAATAAAGTGTTATATAATCACTATTGAAAGATTAGCAAACTTATTGAAGCTCAAATGGTTGAAGCGCTAGTAAAGTGTAACTACTAATTAGTTTTGTCACCTGATGAAAATACCAAACATAGGAATGTGCAATGAAATAAATCTCTTTCGTGAAGAAATTATATTTATTTTAGGTGTAATATTATACGAAGTTGTTCCTCTGAATGCATATTGATGGAAAAAGTGAATTCATGTAAAAGTCATTAAAAAACTGAACACTAATTAGTGAGAATAGAACCTAAGCAGCGAACTAGTCAGAGAATATTCAAGAACATACGAAGTAATTTTTTGGTACCTCGCGCATGAAAATATTTAGTGTTAGTTAAGAAATGCAAATCTATTAAACAGAATCCAATTCGCTAGGATTGTGAAATGCAACAACCGTTTGGTGAAATTGACTGACCGCCCTTTCCTGATACATGTATGTGCCAGTATTCAGTCTCAACTGACACAGCGATTTCAGAAAAGGAGCGGCAGATATTCATTGTTCCACCCCTGAACTCGTATACGGCACGACATAGCATCTGCCTGGGGAATTTTTTCGACCACGTGCATGCGAACACTGCCTCAAGTGTCAACTAGAATGGAGCATCGACAGGTCGCTCGCTCTCGAAAGTTATTTGCCTGTCCATATGTTTTCATACGAGTACATTCGGTACGCAAACCTTTGCAACAGTTTTACGAAGGATCTTTTTAAGTGATCTCGCATCACGAAAAGACGTTTAAGGTTAATGGACACAGTCAGCATTGGTCATCTAAAGCGAGCACACGTCAATGACGGTGCCCTACCCGACAAACCGGGATTCAATGTTAGACACGTCTCACTTGCTAGCGGGATCTCCACATATACTTCGGACCTCACGCTAGATACATGAAAGACCTCATTCTCACGTCCCAGTCAATGGCATGTGTCATCTGCACTATCTACGTATGAGGCTTCCGTTTCATATCCAGATCATCGGACCACCCCGCCCCTGACTTCGAGTGAGATTGCAGTCTCAACTACGAGGTGCGAACGAGACTACCGTCTCACGTTTCGGTTACCAAGTACATTTACCTGCACGATTTGGCGACTAGCCTCAGTAAGCAACGTATAGGGTTTAACATAGACTCATCTTGTGACCAAGTTTTATTACTTTTCGCATTTTTTGTGAGTTCACTTCATTCAAACAGTCCCTGCAAAATTATTCTGTTTATCTAACCTTGATCTTCTGTTGTTGTCTAGTTCTCAACTTAAACAATGTACCGTTTACAGCTCTCAAATAGACTGCCATTCCAGGACTCCCTGTTTTTACTTGACCAGTTGCCACGCTAACATACCGTGCGACACATCTAGAATCAACCAGCAAGCTTAGTTCAGTCACTCCACATCCCGACCATCAGTCAAACATACTTCCCTCCGTTCTCAATACTGACTTCTGGTTCAACTCGGCCTGGGTATCCTTGATCTAAGAGGTGTTACGGACTCAAGCGACGTTCACCTCTGAATATCTGTGACATCCTCACTGTTGAGCCCAGAGTGATTTGCTACACTCGAAATGATTCTGTCAGTCTGTTAGTTCTCATAACATTATTTATGTTTTTACATTTTTGCAAGTCTTAGTGTTGTTCTTTCCTTCACATTTTCCCCCACATAATTAGCATATATAGCACTCCATGACCGGCCCATATGCACAATTTCTGTCGATAGTAAGGGTGCTATGGCCTTATTTGAACAAGTACTTTGCACCTAGTATGCTTAATGTTGATATTCTGGAACCTTACAACACCCTGAAGTAATTCTTACATGTCGTGACTTTACACATGGACAAGGTGTAGACCAGCTTTTCTCAACTTCAAACTGCTGCACGACAACTCTTTCTTTCTAAACTTCCAAGCAGGTGCAACTTCTCAATCTGAAACACATTGGCGAAATCCACCGAACAGATTTCGGAGATAATCAGAACTCCTATCTCCGAAGTTCATTCCATTAAACAAACATCCAGGCTTTTCCAAAACCCTTATCCTCGTTCTTATTTTTGAGGATGAACCTTCTACTAGCAGACGCGCTTGCTGACCTAGAGTATGCTGATGACATTGTTCTATTCGGTGATGACGCTGAAAAAATGCAGTTATCTGAATACCTTTGGGTAACTGAGTAAGCAGTGCTGTCGTCAGGAATTGAGTACCAAGCACTGATGGTAACAGATCAATAGGTGAAGTATTAAAATTTCATCAGTTGTGGTGGTTTTGACACCGACTGCTTCGACGAGCAAATTCT